CCTGAAGATCCAGCACCAACCACATGGGAATGTGTAACACAGTGCTGTCCTACTTTACCTGGGAGCCAGAGCAGGAGGACCCTCAGGAGCTGAGTGGGGACCTCACATGCTGTTTCCTGACTGGGACTGACTCCTGCACAGGGTGTGAGCAGCCTATGAAGAAGTCCTCAGGGCAGTGAGCTGTGCTCTGGGTACGTGCAAATCAGCAAGGACTGTGTGGGTCTGAGCATAGCTGCAGGGTGGGCTCACCTCACTACAGGCCCAGAGATCTCTGGGTTCCCTGTACAGACCAGGGCAGCACAGATTTCCCACACAGAACATGCTTCTCCCTTGGGGCACAGGGCAGAATCAAGCTGCTTTCCCATGAGTATAGTGAACTATTGTTCTCTTTGTGGTTCAGAAAAAGCTTTGCATCTCTGAATAGAGATGGGTTCTGTGGACTCTGTCCCCTCCATCTCTGAATTCACAAGGCCATGTCCACTTTGTTTCCCTCATGGCTGCCCACATTCAGAGTTGTGTGCCTTGTTCTTCTACCCACACTGCCTCATTACTGACCCAGAGTTTGGACTCTAAGATCCTCTTGGAGGGGCATCAGAGTCAGTGTTATGGTTTGGGTCTAGATATTCCTCCAAAGCCTCACGTGGTCACAGGAGGCTTTCCCAGAGGTGGCTGAATCCAGAGTGTATGGTGCTGGGATGAAGGGCGTGTGATTACTAAATCAGTGCACTGATTGCTTTGGCACCACCCTGATCCCGGGAGCCTGGATACAACATAAGGGACAGAAAGAGGCTTGTTTTGACATTTGCTTCCTTGCTTTTTCTGTCCTCTACTTCCCATGAACTTATCCTCTCTGATGCCCCTCTGCCAAGCCACCCTGTCTTGGAGCCAGCTGATTATGGACTGAAATCTCTACAAATTGTGAGTGTTTAACCTTTCCCCCTTTAACATTATGTGTGGTGTATATTGTTTCAGCAAGGATAGAAAAGTAACTGAGAGTGTAAGAGTATATTACCAATCACAATGTAAAAGAGGAAATACTGAGGCACTGGCAGGTGGGGGAGATGTAGCCCAATGTGGGCAGAGTCCCTGAAGCCATGTGAGCTTAGAGAGCTGGACAGAGTGCTCCTACCCTAATGGCTCCCAAAAGGTTAAGTATCACTTCTGCAGTCCCAGTGGTTCTAGGATGAGGCTTCTGTGCTTTGTTTATTGTGGGGTTTGTCTGCATCTAGTGAAAGATTTGTAAAATAGAACACTTTTGATTTGGGGCCCCAGTGTCTTGACTGAATCTTTCCCCCTCTTCAGCAACCTGATCCTATTCTACAAATTACCAGGCAAGATTTTGTAGAAAATTCAAGTTTCTCTTCTTAAATAATCATCTATTTATTAAGGACAAAAGACTCACAGCTCACCTGGAATTCTGAAGAGACAATGGGCAAAGGTCAGTTAAGGTCCAGGTATGTGACCACATGAAATGACAAAGATGTATTTTGGGGAAAGTGTAGGGGGCCAGAACACCCTGTAGAGTGCAGTGCTGGGAAATGCTGGAAGGCTGAGAGCTCCTGGTCAGATCTGTGAATCCAGTCCCATCCTTCCCACCCAGAAGCCCTCCCAGAGCAGCCTATGAGAGTACTATTTAATATTTTGTAATGTCACAATTTATTTTTTCATGTTCCGATGATGACTTGAACAGTTTCACCTCAGGCTGGTGTGAATGAAGCTAGTTGGACAAGTCTTACACAAGATGCTGCATGAACTGGTGTTTTCAAGGACTTTACTGAAAGGTCTGAGAGTGCAACTGTTGGATAATATAGGAAAGTTTTAAAATTCTGCCAAACTGTTCTGCTCAGAGGTCATAAAGTCTTCATTTCCACCAGGAATCAAGAGAGCCTCAGATTCTCCATGTATTTCTGTCTTTTTTTATAAGGTTTCACATAACTGACATTTGATAACAACCAAAACAGCTAGATTTCATTAAGCCACTTATTGTCATATATTAACTACCATTTCCATGCCATGTTTGTGTGCTTGACACATTTTAGAACTTATTCTCATGAATACAGCCCATTGAAAAAAATAGAAGATAGTAGAGAAGAAATGAACAATTACTGCAAAGTAGGGGTCAATTAGAATTTCATATCAGTGGGATGCATAAGCAAGAGATGGGGTATAGAGAAGGTATACTCTTATAGCTGAATCTGAGATTTGTACGGGAAATAAATATTGCAGAGCTTGAAGACTGTGCCTTACAGTGGCTCACACCTCCTCAGATGCTGCCTTCACAGTTGGAAAAATAAAAAGCAGTCTAGTGGCCCTGTGTTAACCAAGCCATGTCCTACTGTTTTCCAGAAGATTTCACTCTAGTGTTCACTCTGGGCTGATTATAGGAGCTGTTCAAGTGCCAAGTCTTCCAGCCACATAGGAAGATGTGAAAATAAATGGAGGAGATATTTTTCAATATGAAATGAAATCAGCTCTACTTCTCCTTAATACTTAGAAACAGATCAGTGAGAGCAAATCTACCAAGCTGGAGAATTCCCTAAGAGGCAGAGAAAGGCCCCAAGCAGGTTCAGTGCAAAAATTAGTTCTGAATCATGTAAAAAAAGAACAGTCACATAAAACTGTGCTGCACCTGCAAAAATAGACAATGATAAGGCACCAGATTTAAAAATTCCTCACTGCATTTTAAAATTTGTGTAGAATCATAGCATTCAGTCCAAGCAAGTCAGAATTTTTCAGAGGACTTCCAACACACAATCCATACCAAAAAAGCTTCCATTCCCACACTTTTACTAACCCAGAGTATTCAGGATAATAACAGAGGATAGAAAGGAACTCTTCCCTATCTTTCATCAAGAACTAAACTAAAATCAAAGGGTATTAGAGATATAAATATTAAAATAGAAACACTAAAGTTTCTGGAAGGTAAGTTACGTAGAACTCTCAAAGACATAGGCATAGGAAAATACTTTATGAACAAATCCTCAGTACCAAAGTAACAACAACTGGGATCTCATCTTATTAAAAAGCTTATGCACTCCAAGAGAAACCACCAACAGAGCTAAAAGACAACCTACAATGTGGGAAAAAATCTTTACTAGCTGTTCCTCAGACAAATTTCTACTATCTAGAATATATAAAGAGCTCAAAAATATCAGACCCCCCAAGTTTAAAGACCCAATTCAAAAATTGGCGTCTAAAATGAACAGACATTTCTCATACAAAAAGTAAAAGAAGAAAACAAATACATGAAAAAATGTTCAACGTCACTGGTGATTCGAGAGATGCTGATGAAAATACCATGAGATTCTACCTCACCCCACAAAGAATGGCTGCTCTGAAGAAACAACCAATAACAAAAGTTGACAGGGCTGTGGGGAGAAAGGAACCCTTCTCCATTGTTGGTGGGAGTGCAGACTGGGGCAACCACTGTGGAAATCAGTATAGAGATACCTCAAAAACTAGGATTAGAGATCCCATTTGACCCAGCTATTCCACTGCTGGGTATATTCCCAAAAGAATTAAAAGAATCATACCACAGCAATATATGTGCACCCATGTTTATAGCAGCACAGTTTGTCATAGCTAAAACTGAGAAACAGCCCAAATGCCCAACAGTTGGAGACTGGATATAGAAGATGCGGTTTTTCTAAAAAATGAAGTACTGCTCAGCTGTAAAGAACAAGAAACTAGAGGACTGGGGATTTAGCTCAGTGGTTTCCCTGCCTGCTGCGCAAGCGCAAGGACCCGAGTTCAATCCCTGGTACAAAAAAAAAAAAAAAGAACAAGAAACTAGAGACATTTATAGCTTAATGGATGCACATTGAAGCCGTAATCTTAAGTGAAATAAATAGGAAACATATCTGTAAATACCAAATAGTTTTTCTGGTGGGAAAAACTAAAAGTGTAAATCAGGTTCAGATATATAATTGATAATGTGAAATAGGAAGAAAAGGTCTAAAGGAGTAGGGGAAGTGAAACAGGTAGGGGAAATGAAGGAAGGGAAAAGAAAAAATATGAGAAAAGGAAAAAATGGAAACAAGTCTGTAAATAGGGAAGGTGGAGGGGTTGAAGGAAGGGCAGGGGAATGGAGAAAAAATAAGAACCAAGATACATCATGTAAAGCTACAAGATCCCAACGATGAATGTAACTATATTGTATACCTAAAATGTACCAATAAACTTAGTGGAAAAAAAAAGAAAGGAAGTCTTGGTAGCAGCCAGATATATTATTCAATATTTTTCATAATTGTCTTCCATAGGTCAGTGTATTTTGATATTAGTGTTGATATTACAGCTCCTATGCTGTAAATTCCAGGGTTTTGTCATTCTGCAAAATGAAAAAAATATGGAAACACTAAATCATAATTTTCTTACAGGCAATGGGGGAAAAGACAAAGAACAGGTAGAATACAGTTTTTCTGAGGACAGTGAAACAACACTGTCTCATGCCAGAATGTTGGATTACGTCATCACATATTTGTTTATGCTGGTGAAACATACAACATGGAGAGTGAACCTCGATGTGAACAGTGCACTTTGGGTGTAACTTGACACTGATTGACTGCAACAAAATTGTAATAGGCTGTTGATGATAGAGACTATGTATGTGTGCAGTTGGGTATAAGGGACACTTCTGCACAATAAATTTTATTGTGAATTTACATCTACTCTAAAAATGACATGTCTAAAATTTCTTACTTGAAACACAAAGAATGTTTTCTCTGATGCTGTGTGAATCCAAAATGATGCCAGAACCCACAGTCCTCAGGGACATTGTTGTGTCCTCCACTGAATCAGCGCAGGCACTGTGATGTTGGTGCCACAGAAGCTGAGGAGGAGGAAAGGGAGTTAGGATGCAGAGCAGTCTCCCTCCACCCTCTACCAAACCCTCCCAGTGAAGCCAAAGCCAGGCTTCATCTGAGCAGTGCTCTTAGCAGGTGGAGACAGCAGGGGTGGCAGCTGGGGCAGCCCAGGCTCACACTTCTGCTTCCCTTGGAGGTTTATGTTATGCCTTGTATCACTGTGGGAGGGTTATAACCTTGCTGACAGTAATAAGTTCCAACATCCTTAGCCTCCACACTGTTGATGGTGAGAGTGAAATCTGTCCCAGATCCACTGCCACTGAACCTTGCTGGGACCCCAGATTCTAAGTTAGATGCATAATAGATCAGAAGTTTAGGAGCTTTCCCTGGTTTCTGTTGATACCAAGATAAATATTTGTTTATGCCCTGACTTGCGTGACAAGAGATGGTGACAGTGTCTCCTATGGATGCCAAATGAGAAGATGGAGACTGGGTCATCTGGATGTCACATCTGGCACCTGAGATTAGAAACATAACAAATATCAACACAATCACAATAAAATAGGGCCTCCTAGAAGAGCTTGACACTCTGACCAAACTAAATGGAATAAATTGCCAGTACAATCTTTCCTCACCTTGGATCCAGAGCAGCAGGAACCCCAGGAGCTGAGTGGGGACCCTCATGTCCATACTGTGTGCTGACTTGGACTGATTTCTGCACAGGGTATGAGCAGTGGCCTCTTAAGAAGTCTTCAAGCAGCTGGCCGTGCTCTGGGCACATGCAAATCAGCAGGGGCCAGACAGGGGAATGACTAATGTTTATGTGTTATGTTTTTATGGGCCCTTTAAAAAATATATACGTCCCTGAGTTTGGAACTTATATTGGATGGAGAAAAGAGATCTAAAGGAATATTTTATCTACTGTGCTAGAAACAAGAAGGACTCAGAGGAAAGCAATGAAGATAAGCCCTCCTTTTCCAAGGGCTAAGTGTGGTTTCAGGAAATGAGGAGGTGTGGCCAGTGAATTGAAGATCTTAAAAGATTTTCAACCACTGAAATCAATGGGAGAGGATTGGAAAAGGGACATAAAGGCTGAAGTCTGGCTTGCAGTGCTGAGAGCTGCTGGGCTCTGACCCTTGGCTGTGGAGGAACCGGCTGCTCTTCTGGCTCATGGGGCTGAGGACCTGGGGGGGACCAAAGACTCTGTCCATGGCTTTTCCTGGCAGGAGATTAGGGGAAGGAAAGTGCCCAACACCTCTTGCTGAGGACCAAGCTGAGAGTGGCCAGGAGAAGAGACACTGTGAAAGTTCTCAGCTCTGTTCCCTAAAGGAAAATTATCACTTCTGCAGTCCCAGTGTAGCTTGGATGAAGCTTCTGTGTTTTGTTTATTGTTGGGTTTATTTGCCATCTAATAGGAGATTTGTAACATAGACACTATTTGGTTTGGGGCCCTAAGGCCTGGACTGAACCTCTTCACCTGTATTCATGAAGCTGATCCTACTCTACCCATTACCAGGCAAGATCCTGTAGAAAACTCAAATGATTCCTCTTAATAGATCATCCAACTATTAAGAACAAAAGACTAAGAGTTCACCTAGAGTTCTAAAAAGGTAATGGTCCCAGGACAGTGAACACTGCATAATGACCAATGTGATGTGACAAAGATAGAGATTTCACAAAGACCACATGGCCCTGAAGCCCCTGCAGGGAGTGTTTGTGTGCTCAGGGATAGTGGTGTCATCTGTAAAGCCAGCCCATCCTCCCTATCCCAGAACTGCTCCAGAGCAGCCTGGGAGAACCCAGCAGCTCCCCTGCTTGCACACTCAGCAGTCTTTCAGTGGTTGCAGCTGTGGCAGCTGAGACATGGGAAAATCACAGGAGTGCTGGCTCCTGAAAGTCCCCCTCCAGCTTTCCCTCCCCAGCCTCTGCACAGGGTGTGAGGAAGGGATCACAGCTAGCCTTGGGACCCAGGTGCATCCCTGCTGCCACCAACACCTCCTTCCCTTAAAGGCCACCAGAATCACCAGATTCATGTCTCAGATTTTAACATCTCTCAGGCAACAATTGCTTTGATGTTTTATTGCAAACACAAACTTGAAAGATAGAAATATAATATTGCAGCTAGGAGACAGAGCAGTCAGGATTCATTGGGAGCCCAGTTGCTGGTACTTTGGTGACTCTGCTATTGCAAGTGTTGTTCACAGAATCGCAAATGATAAGTCATTGCAGAAAACATCCAAGAGCACTGATGCAGTCCAAACAGAAGGAGGAGGTGATCTTACATAAAGCTCACAACTGAAGGACCCCTCTCAGAACAGCATACTTTACAATAGATGTTTGTGTTCAAGTTGATGATGGTAACATAACTAAATATTATTTGGGTTTAATCCCTACTTTTAGCATTTTAAAATGTTGATTTTCAAAGGCTATATAGGTTAGTTACTTAATTAGACATTTAGATCTGTATCTCTTGGCTGCAGGGATTCAGTATCACTTTATTACTACCACATGGATCTTGATAAAGTTTTATATTTCAAATGCCATTACATTTGTATCTAAAATGATATAAAATTTTATATTTTTAAAATATTCAAGTTTTAGTTGTTTTACTGCATTTAGTTAGAGAATTGTCACTGAGGTGATATGTATTCCTCTTCAAATATTATGAACAAAAGAAACTGGGAATGCATCATTTTCATATTTACTGCTTATTCTGAGATTGCTCTCTCAGGTAATAAACACAATTACAAATATATTATTCTCAGGAAGGATATTTCTGAGTCACAGGTCAAGAAATCCTCCTAAATTTATGTTGTAACAAGCAGTTAACACTGTATCAAGATGAAAAGAAAACAAAAGTAACCTCATACTTCCTCATTTCCTCATTGCAGGAAAACTTCTAGTTAAGATAATTCCCTCTCTATCCTCTTCCTCCTCTTCTTAACCACTGTCAACTTGCAATATACAGACAACACTGGGATTATGGATTGAGTGGAGAAATGCTATCAGATCACCCTCAGCCCACACACTCCTCTAAGGTGTACTCCAAGAAGGGATGGTGTTGTAAACTCTTTTTATAACACATTAACATTGTTAAATGAAAGGTTGCCTCCTTAGATTTATTTTCACAGGGCATTTCCTGAGATAAATATTGGTTCAGTATGGGGGAAAATGAAGCAAAACAACTGGACAGCCAAGAGAATATCTGGGACCTCAGGCCTGGTGGAGTACAAGTTGGTGAGGTTTCTGCTCTGGCTGTAACACCATGAATGACTTTTGTAATTTGAATAGTGATGACCAAAATGATTCTCTAACATGATGTAAATGTGTGTATTTGTGTTGATCAGTAGGCTGGCCACATGGTATATATGCCTGGTCAGCACTAGAAATGTACATAGTGTAATCAAGGAGCTAAGCTTTTAATTCTAATTTAATTTTGTCTAGCAATGTACTTTTGACATTTACCTGTGACACAGCACAGGTTTAGATGGGGATGGTCAGTAATATCTCTAGGAACAGGAAGCTGCTAGGCATTAACCAAGGGTCTGTCCCATACACTGCAGCAGGCTCGGATGCACTACAGCCAGGGTAGACACTGCACATGGCTGGATCTAGTTTAAAAATGATGCAGAAATTGTAAAATTATTGCTTGGAATACATACAAGGGCTTCTCTGTTGGTGTGTGAATCCAAAATTTTGCCATCACTTAAATTGTTCAGAGCACTCAAGTGTGTCTGCATTACATCAGAACAGGCACTGTGATGTGTGGGCTGCAGGAACTGAGCAGGAGAAAGGATTGTTAGGGAGCAGAGAAGCCTCCCTCCATCCTTCTACTGAAACCTCCCAGCTACCATCACAGCTTGGCTGCATCTGGGAAATGTGCTCATCAGGTAGCAACACCAGAAAGAGCAGCTGTGGCAGCCCAGCCTCACACTTCTGCCTCCCTGGGTGCTTTATGTCATGGTTTGTATCACTGTGTGAGGCCAGCTGCTACCCTGTTCACAGTAATAAGTTGCACCATCTTCAGCCTCCACACCACTGATGGTGAGAGAATAATCTGCCCAGATTCACTGCCATTGTATCTTGATGGGCTCCAGATTGCAAGTTTATTGCATCATAGATCAGGAGCTTAAGAGCTTTCCCCAGTTTCTGCTGATACCAGTGTAAGTACTTTCTAACATCTTCACTGGCCTGACAAGTGATGGTGACTCTGTCTCCTAAGGATGCAGGTAAAGTTGGAGGCTGAGTCATCTGCATGGGATATCTGGCACCTGATAATGGAAACATCAAATATCAACACAAGAATCATGATAAAACAGGACCTGCCTAATGGGCAGGCAGTACTAACCACATTGTACTGAGTATATCCCCAAAGCTGTTCCTCTTTATCTGGCATCAGGAGCTGCTGGAGCCTCAGGACCTGAGTGTGGGCCCTCATGTCCATGCTGTTTCCTGACTGGGACTGACCCCTGCACAGGGTGTCAGCAGCCTCCTGAAGGCTTCAGGGTAGTGGGCTGTGCCCTGGGCTTATGCAAATCCCCAGGAGCTGGGCACAGCTGCAGGGCTGGCTCTTCTCAGTATACTCCTAGTGTCCCCTGGTGTCCCTCTCCAGACCAGGTTGGCACAGATTTATCTTTAGAGAACATGTTTCTCCCCTGGGGACAGGGAGAATCAGGCTGCTCTCCCATGGGTAGAGTGAGCTATTGTTCTCCTCACAGTTCAGAGCACACTTTGCTTGAGTTTCTTAACCACTGTTTTAGGTTAAGGGCCCTCAGAGGAGGAATTTAGCAAACCAAGGGGCTGCTTCAGGCACAGGATAAAAAAGAAGGAACTGAAGACAAGAAGTGAGTAGAATTTATGAACCATTTGATCTTGTCTGGGTTCCTCTACATAGCATCACACCATGACTAAGATGGCAGGGGAGGACATAAGCAATTATGGTTTCTAGTCCTTCATGTCTGAGGCTCCCACACAACACACACAGAACCACATGATTTTGCCTGTCTGCTAACAAAGAATAGTTCTAAGTCTCACCCAGGTCCTTGCTCTTAATTTGCTTTTCAGGATACCTTTGAATCACTTTAGACAGCAATAGAAGAAATTGTGGCAATTATTAAGACTATAAAGGGAAGCCTGAATTTTAAAGAACTTAGGATTGGTGCAACAACTTAGAGACAAAAGAAAAGCTTCAACTTCTTTATTCCTGCTTTGCCATACAGAATTTTCAAAGTTGGTCCTAAGGCCTCGTGGTTCCGAGAGAGCTACAGTGTCTCAAAGTCTCAAGTATTCTCATAACTGTTTCAGGAAGAAATTCAGGAAGTTTCACTTGCTCTATTTTGAAATCTTTCCCAGTCCTCATCCATCCTCTTGATTCCTCTTATTTCTCACTTCTGAGGTGGTTGAATGGGCCTCTATATCCCTGTTCCTGCCCAGGCTGGAAAAGGCTCATCTTTGTTTACCATACACAGCAGGTCAGAGCCAGTGCTTAATAAAAGAAAAGAAAGGGAATGACTCTTGTGAACATGTGAAATTTTTAAAGGACCATTTTAAAAATTTTCCTGTGCATATTACTTCCATTGAATGGAGAAAAGAAATCTGAAGGAAGACTTCATCTGCTGGGGTTGGAACAAGAAGGACTGAAGATGACAGTGGAGATGAATCTTACTTCTCTAGATGGCAATGCTGGCTTCAGGAAGTGTGGAAAGGTC